AAGCTCGTGGTGCTCGGATCCACAATCAGTGCTCACCGAAGCAGCAGTCACAGGCTCAAACAACGCTCCGTGTTGGGTCCATCTGCTGCAGACCTCTTTAAAGCGAGGAAAAGCAAGGATGTTACTTTGAGGGCTAAGCAGCGCCTGACGGAAGCCGTGGTACTTTCCAGCGCGTCATGCGCATCTGAAAGTTGGACGCTGACAAGGAAGACCCAAGAAAATCGGTGCCTTTGGATGACGGCGATGGCAAAGAAGATCGCCAGTACCACGGAGTACCACACGAATAAGCCGATCCGTCTCGGAAGAAGTACAGCCAGAAAGTTCCTTAAAGTCGGGATGACAAGGACTTGGGACACGCTGTCAGGAAAGGCTGGGCCCTGGAGAAGGCCGGCAGGCTTGCTAAAGCAGAGGGGCAGCAGCAGAGAGGAACGTGGGCTGCCACGGCGGCTGCCACAGCAGGCTCCCACGTAAGAATGTGGCGAGGTTGGCGAGGGGCCCGGTGGCAATTCTTTCTGCTGTCCACCAGGTCACAGTGAGTCAGAACCCACTCCACAGCACCCAACAACAAGAACAACAACAATGACGTTTAAGTCACTTCTGACTGACGCCCACCCCACATGCCACTGAGCAAATAAAACTGCCCCGTGGGGTCTGCTTGGCTGGGATCACTTGTTTGTTTGTTTGTTTGTTTGGTGTCAGTCACTAAGCCTTTCTTCTACTGTGCTTCTAGGTGGGTCTACGCCTCCTACTTGTTAGTGAGTAAACTACACCAAACCCACAGCCAACTCACAGTGACCCTACAAGGGGTTTCTGAGACTGTACATCTTTACAAGCCTCGTTTTCCTTTCTGGAGCGTCTGGGGGATTTGAACTGCCAACCTTGTGGTGAGAAGCCCCACGCCTACCCCACTGCACCACCAGGGCTCCTGGGTGTGGATCATGAACACCACGCCAGGGAGCTCTGTTGCTACCCTCCTGTCCTAAGACTCAAGGCGCCCTGGAGCGTAGTGCTTACACGCGGGGCTGTGACCACAAGGTGGGCAGTTTGGAGCCACCAGCTGCTCCTCGGGAGAAAGACCGGGCGTTCGACTCCTGTCAAGAGTGACTGTCTCAGAACTCCACAGGGGCAGTTCCACCCTGTCCTGTAGGGTCACTATTGAGTCAGGACTGACTCCACGGCAGTAAGTTTGGTTTCAGACGGTCACATGGCCAGGGAGGGGCAGCATCAGAAAGACCCCTTCTGTATCCTATGTCCCTGTCCTTACCCACACCAAGGTCTGGTACAGGCTGGACACTGTGTCTGACCCAGTAAGTACCCAGGTTAGTGTCCAGGGAGGCAGTCAGAGTGCCCACCCCAGCCTCTAGTTTTGGGGCCCCCACCTTGTTATACCACAGATGGGTGTATGCCTGCGATGGGTGTATGCCTGCAGACAGGTTAGGGGGATCCCTCCTGGACAGAAGTGGAGAATGGGCCCAGAGGGTGGAAGTGGTGGGCACCACCTAGCAGCTGGGTTCCAGCAGAGGCTGTACCACCCAGAATCCAGGCTGCGACCTTGCTTGCACTTGGGGCTGGGGGGGGGAGGGGCGGTGTTCAAGGGGGTTTTCTGTGCAGACCGGAGCCTCCACACTCTCCCGGAGGTGAGCAATCTCTGTGTAAACAGGAAGGGCCAGCCAGAGCCAAGTGACCAGCTGGACAGGCGCGGAGGGAGAAAACTACTCCGTTTCTCATCTCTCTTGCACCTGCACCTGCTTTGGGGGTGGTCCCAGGAGCCTCTGGGCGCAGAACACTGTGGCCACAAGGGTTCGAATTCCGCCCCTGCCACTTACAGGCTGTGAAACCTGGGAGAGGCAGCCTCCCCTCT